GAATCAAGATCATGTGAAGTGTTAATATCACTTTGAAATGCCTTGGTAAGGCCACACTTGGAATACTGCATTCAGTTCTGGTCTTAGGCCATGTTAGAATATATAAAGTGTAGAATTTTCTTTGGGTTCCCATAATTCTGGAAACAAATGGTGACGGAGAATAGATTTTTTAATGCAGCCTCCCTGGGAAGGAGACATACTGCAAGAACAAGAATATTGCTCAATATAATCTGGTATAGATTACATTTTTCATAAGAACCATGAGATTGGCGAAAGTTACGGTAACTTGAGTGACACTCAGTATTATCTGATGTATTTTACGTTTCCATAAGAGATGATGGGACAGGAGAAGTGATTTATACTTCCAAACAAAATTCAGAATATATCCTGAGCAGATGCATACAAGTTTAGAGGTTTTTTTTTTTTAAAGGTCTATAATTGTGATTTGGGAGAGGAGTTGAGTCTTTTGTATTCATTTCCAGGCAGAATGCACTGGAAGCAGCCTCTGAAAAAAGTCCCATCTTATGTGTCTGCTGCCTCTTCGACTAGTCCTATCCGGCGTTCTGTAAGCTGCCCTCGATCCATTTCAGCTTTGGCTATGCAACTGCAAGCTGAAAAACGCCCTTTCACAGCCAAACCAGTAATGCATCTCTCTCGGTCATCACTCGCGAGCAGGTCACACTCTTTAAACAGAGGTTCATCTGCTCTCAAAGTGTCTCACACTGCCAACCAAGGCTCTGTACATTCATCTGGGGTAAGTGAGCAAAGCACGTCTATTTTGTAAGAACAAATATTTAATGAAATCTTTGGATGTGTGGGGGAGGGAGTTGAAGAGCAACGAGATTAATATTTTACCAACCAATGCAAAACCATTTTTTAAAAAAATCACATTGAGAAATTCAACTAGTTGCACTTGTGGAAATAAAGGGGAAATAAAGGTGGCTTAGGCATTGTATTCTACACAACAGCCTTGTTCTAAATGATTTTTTTTTTGCTTCAAATTGGAAAATGAAAATAGAGGGAAATTTTTGCAGAAACTCCTAGGCGTGGGAATTGGTGTACCTATTTTATAAGATGAGTAAGGATTACTTAGTTTAGTTTTTCTTTTACATGCATATCTATACTTTAAAAAGAATTCTTGCTCTTCATGTTGATAATTCATGCTCCATCCCTGAAGGTTTTAAAGAAGAGATTGGACACAGTTTATCCCAAATGATATAAGGTCTCCTCCTTGAGCAGGGGGTTGGGCTAGAAGTCCCTTCCAACTCTGTTATTCTTTATTCTGATAGCATGGATTCCTAGAAACTCCCACAGAGATTTTTTTTTTTTAAATCTGATGTTCACTTTTGGGAAACAGATTTGAGAAATCCATCTAAAAGAAACTTCTCAAGAACTTCTAATTTAGGTCCACTTGTAAAATGGCATAGAGACTATTTGTGGAAGATGCATCTGAAAAAGAAAATAAATTAAATTCATAGACTCATAAAGTTGGAAGGAAACATGGTGGTCTTATAGTTCAGACCCTGCTGAGCACATGAATCCTCAGAGTATCCCAGACAAATGCTTGAAACCCTTCAGTGATGGAGTGTCCGTAACTGTAAGATCCAGGATGTCCTTGCTGGTTAAATGCTCTAACAATTAGGAAAGTCCTCCTTTTATTGAATATATTGGATCTCCCTATATAAAGCTTCAACCAACTAAAACAATTGCTTTTTGTCCTATCCTTAGGAGCTACAAAGAATAAATCCATACTATTAGACACTTTTGAGGATAAGACTGGTATCCTATCTTACCTTTAGGCTAAATATGCCTAGTTCCTTTAGCAATAGCACTTAGATTTATATACTGTTTCACAGCCCTCTCTAAGCAGTTTACAGAGTCAGCATATTGCACCCAATTTTACCCACCTCGGAAGGATGGAAGGCTGAGTCAACCTTGAGCCTGGTGAGATTTGAACTGCCAAATTGCAGTCAGCCAGCAGTCAGCAGAAGTAGCCTGCAGTACTGTACTTTTAACCACTGTACCACTGTGGCTTATAGGATTTAACTATTCATTATACGATTTAATCTCCAGGCGATTCCAGCATTTTTTTTTTTTTGCACTTTCAATTTCTCAGCCTTTTTCTTGTATTGTGACAATCAGTATTGGATACAGCATTCTAGATGCATTCTCATCATTGCCGCTTGAAAACAGAGTTATCACTTCCTATTTATAAGTTATTTTTAAAATATTTACAGTGCATGTCAGGTTAGTTATGGATTAATCCTTCCACGTTAGCCACTGTGTTTTTTTCTTGTTGTGTTTATACATGGTTTTTATTGTTGTTTGCCACACAACAACAACAATATTTTTTTAAAAGCAGGGTGAAGTTGGATAAAAATTTAAAAAGCCTGTTTCTGGAAAATGTATATTATTTCAGAAAAATTGTCAGGAAATTATATTAAAAGGTTGTAAACATGTGAAATGGCATATAGATGTTTCATTTGTTAAGGAAACTTGCAAAATAAAATTGTATTTTTAAAAATATATATTTAAATATGTATATTTAAAAGTATCTTCAAAATATTAAAAATGATGGACTGGAATACTGCCCCACTAACTTGAAGAATCAATTGATCACAATTTATAATGATTCACATATTTCTAATGTAAAGATGAGGAAGTCCATGGAAAAGAGCTAAATAGCTTCTTTCTTAAGTGAAGAAGGCTATAGGGCTTCTTCCAGGAGCCAAGGTGGCGCAGTGGTTAAATGCAGCACTGCAGGCTACTTCAGCTGACTGCAGTTCTGCAGTTCGGCTGTTCAAATCTCACTGGCTCAAGGTTGACTCAGCCTTCCATCCTTCCGAGGTGGGTAAAATGAGGACCCAGATTGTTGTTGGGGGCAATATGCTGACTCTGTAAACCGCTTAGAGAGGGCTGAAAGCCCTATGAAGCGGTATATAAGTCTAACTGCTATTGCTATTCTATGAGCATCACTGTCTGGAAAACCTTTAGGGAGGAGTTTCATGCAATCTTCATTGGTACTGCAAGTGGTGGGGAGGTTTTCAATTTTAAACGTTATAGGAGAAAAAAATATATCCTGAAAGAGTCTTTATGGAGATTGTAAAAAAGCAATTGATTCATTCCTCCAAATATAATTTTTCTGGGAAATTCGTCAGCTCCTCAAAACATTTCTCCCCCCCCCCATTTAAAATTACCAGATTTGGGTTGCAAAAATGTAGATGACCGCTAGCTGTCAGTAAAGATACATATAGAACATTCAAACTCTGCTTCTATCTTGTGGTTGCTTGGGTTTTTGCAGACTAGAATTGGTGAGTTCGCCTCCTTCCCCCAAATGTTTCAGATGCCTCAAGTAGGCATAGAGTCTTGTATTCAGCCAACAAGATAAATGAAAGTGTTTTTTAAAATGTAGGAAAAGTATTTATTTAGAACAGTATCGGTGATTTGAATTCAGCTGCAAGAAATTGACAATGTATTATTGTATATTGTATGCATTTGTTCACTACTAACCTATAGCACTTTAAATCAGTTACATTATCCATGGCTAGAAAATGAATGGAATCCATGATTACCATATGTTTAAATAGCACTTCATTGTACAATTCGTAGGGCCTTATGCCATGCAGGAGTCATGCTGAGACAGTGGGTCTTCATTTTCTTCTCTTAGCCTCTTTCTGCCTTTCAGATCATGCTCTGGAGGGTTCGTAAACACAGTAGAGAAACTTTGCACAGAGGAGGAATTTGTAAGGAAAAGAAGCTATCTGCTTACTTTAAAAAGCCCCTATTGAATTCAGTGAGGCCAGCAAGGATAGAAATAGCTCTGTGAGATTTTGCCCATGGGCAAAGTCTTTCGTGCTCATGGGTATCACAAAATACCCTTAGTGGTACAATCAAACAATGCTGGCCTCCCTTCCTTTAGGGAAATAAGGATTATGGGGCAAAGCAAATGCCTTTAGCCTTTAAAAATCTTTGAATTCTTTGCTCACTCCACTCGTATCCAAATTTTTGTTCTTGCCCTTGTTCCAAGGAGACCCCTGGAGACCAAAAATATTTTTTATGAGACGTGCAGCACATGGTCACAAGAAAGGTGCCCCTTCCTACTTTATGCAGGTAGTCCTTGACTTACGACCACAACTGAGCCCAAAATTTCTGCTGCTAAGTGAGACAGTTGTTAAGTTGAATTTTGCCCCATCTTACCATCTTTCTTGCCACAGTTGTTAAGTGAATCACTGTAGTTGTTAAGTTAATAACACGGTTGTTAAGTGAATCTGGCTTCCCCATTGACTTTGCTTGCCAGAAAGTTGTGAAAAGTGATCACATGATCCCAGGACATGGCAACAAATTGCCAAGCGTCCGAATTTTGATCATGTGAGCAAATGTTGGGATACTGCAGTGGTTGTAAGTATTAAAAAAAAAACATTCATAAGTCATGTTTTCCGTGCTATCGTAACTTTGAAAAGTCACTAAATGAATGATTTTAAGTCGAGGATTGCTTATACCAGCCCAGGAGGCTACCAAGTAAAAGTACCATAAAACAGGATAAATATGGCTTCTTGGCTCATTAAAATTTCTGTATAAGGGTGCTGTTGCCTTCTTTATGGACTGTCTCAATGGGTAAGCAGCACTAGGTCAAACCGGCTTCCAGGCCTGCTATACCTCCACAAGGTCATAAATTAAAATGACCTCGGGGGAGGGCCTTCTCTGTGGCTGCTCCGGCCCTCTGGAACAATCTCCCCGTTGAGATCCGGACCCTTATTACCCTTCTGGCCTTCCGCAAAGCAACTAAGACCTGGCTGTTCCGGCGGGCCTGGGGCTGTTGAACTATCCAGCCCCATTCGAGGTTACGACTGTTGTTGAATTTTAAATCGCTGTTTTTATTTTTTTGTATCTCCTCCCCTTTT